TTCATTCCTTCATTTTAGAACTGGTTTCCCCCTTATAATGATTCATTAAGCAATTCAATCAAACTTTCTCCGGAAGAGGGCTACTCAAATGAGAGTAATGAAGAATCATGCTATTTGTCTAATTGATTAAACTTATGTTAATTTTCAGCGTAGCTATTAAGAACATAATTTGAGTCCTAGCATTATGTTACATATCATTTTAATGTCTTGCTAATGTTCTTTACAACTTCCTTACCTCCCAAACCCTCAATTTATGCTCCGTTCAATTACCAGTCATCTGCTTCATCCATCTTGTGTCAGTCTGCTTTCGAATTCAGGCTTCAACTTTGATGCCCATGGCCCACCCAACATATCTTCAAATCCTCAACTCTCGATACCAAATACCTCGCAGTTTCATTCTTCCCAAGTTCCTAACGCCTATCATGAACCTCAGCGTATCCCATCCTTAATTTCCGGCCCATCAGCACATCAGATTCCTTCCTGTTCTTTTACTTCAACAGCCGCCTGCTGCGTCCCATCCTTTTCTGCCACCTCCTCAAGCTTTTCTTCCTCCAATTGCTCGTCATTCGGCTGTATTCCACAAAAGGCAGTATCTCCGGGTGGAATAATCCTCGGCTCAAATGGGCAAATTACTGGTACATCCATCTCGCAGAAAACGACATGCATTTCGCCTTCAGGAGTTCGAATTAGTGAGGATCTCTCCCGACCAACCTCTGTCATCCCAATAGTCCCTGCACCTACAAATGCAAATATCTTCAACTTCGTCCTTGACGAGGAGGAAGTCTGGACTGATTTGCGAATGGGTGATGATCATCGAGCGATCAGGGTAGGTAGCGCTGCAGAATTTCACGACAAGAGAGAAGTGGTTGGACCTGAGGGTAAAGATAAAGACGAGGGCGAAGAGTACAAAGACAAATACGAGGCAGTGCTTGGAAAGGAATCCTGTCTACATCAAGTGAGTTATAGAGAATCCACTCTGATTTATTAACCGGTTTATGATATTCAGTCTAAGTGATAATTTTTAATTATGTATACTTTATTAAACAAAAAGTCCAATAGCATACCCGAATAAGCGTTTCTAAAGTCTGCATAGGTCTAGAATAAGAGCTTGAGTCATCCTCGATCGCTTAAAGTGATGCCAATACTTATTTGGATTTCAAATGCTTCGCGATGCCTTTAAGTCCAATTTACTGTGCCTCCCACTAGATTTTCTGATCCAAGGCGATGGCAGTTTCGGCCTCACCCGGATCTCATTGGCCATATATAGTAATAATTGCGAATGTGATAACAAATTCAAATTAGCCTAATCGGTATTTTCACTATAAATGTAAACTGGGAAATACTTGGTATGCCTTAGGACCTTCTTGAATGAGCTATTCTGTTGTGAAGTCAACATTTTTCCGCTTTACATGCTTGACCGAGTTTTTAATCTAAATTACGCTATTGATGAGATTTAATTCACTTAAAAACCGAACCCTACCTTGCCTAATAAAAACTTTTGATAGGCAAGGTTGTATTAACTCTTTTTGCATCATGATTCCTACTGTTTCGTTGTGGGATATCTAACTATTCTTCCTGAAATTACCTTGAGCACTGAAGACTGTCTTGAGTTCTTAT